AATAACATCTGGTGAGAGCCCACCACATGCCAGGTCCTAAGTATTTTATAGATCTTTAATCTCTGCCTTTCCATGTCTGCCAAGTGATGGAGGGCATATTATTAGCCTCATTTTATAAATGAAAAAACTAAGGCTCAGAGAGTTTGCAGTAATGTGCCCAGGATCACAAAGCTATTAAATGACAGCATTGGCATGAGAACCCAGATCCATCCAGTGTCAGAGTCCCCTCTTTCAGCCCCTGGGGCTCTCCTTCACTTACTGGACTGTCGATTTTTGCCAAAGAGGGATAAAACCACCTATTTTACAGGCTTGCCCTCTGGCTCACCTCGAAGGTGCCTAGCACACAGTAGGTGCCTAATGAATACCATTTTCTTTTCCAGTTGTTAATTGTTGCCTGGAAAACCAGATTCATCTCTCAGGCCTTATGAGAAACCCGGTCAGATGAGCCTTAACCGATGGTACCAGGTTGCTGGCTGCCTGTGCCATGCCAGCTCCCCCAGTGGCTGTGCCTGCAGTTTACCTGCTGAACTGACAGAAGGAGGACTTCATTTCACTTCCCGGTGATAAGGGGAAAGAAAGTGAAGGGGAGGAGACTGCAGCCCCTAGACCGGTCGCCCCTGTTGTTGACAAGCAGAACATACCACCAGCAGCGGTCCTCCTGGGATTTCATCCGGGAGGAGCAGTGAGAGGGAAGCAGGAGCATCAGGCAGGCCTGGTTTTGCTTCAGGGTTAAACCTCCCCTGGTGGGGTGGCCCTCGACCCTCCAAGCCCCCATTTTCCTTGTTGCTGTGTGGAAGGATTAGGAAGGGAAATGATATTCCAGATCCCACCCACTACAAGTGAGTTCCTGGGGGGGATGCATTCTGATGGTGAATTACCAGGGACCCCAATAGGAGGAGAGTTTTCCTGGGGCCCAAAAACCTCAATCCTACCCCATGGAGTTAAAGACCCCTCCTTCCTGTGTACCCCAGAAAGCACAAGCCCCTGCCAGAGGTGTGAAGTGAGGGGCAAAAGTGTGAGAAGACAGAGCAAGTTCCTCTGGGAGACTTCCTGGAGGACCGGAGAGAGGAAGCCAGATCTTGAGAGAAAAGTGAGGGCTCTCCAGACACTGAAGGGAGGAAGGGCATTCCAAGCAGCAGAAACAGCATGTGCACAGGCACAGAGTCAGAATGGGCCTGACACATCCAAAACCAGGAGGAATTAAAGGCCACTGGAGCTGCGTTTCTCGAAGTGTTATCCTAGCACACTAAAGGGCACTTGGCAGGCAGAAACTGAGGCTAAAGAGAGAAGACAGAACCAGGTCGTGAAAAACCTTGAATGCCATGCCGAGGATCTATACTTAGAGACAAGCTGGGCCAGGAATGGGAAGTGATCAGAGCAGACTTCCCTGCACACAATGCAGTACAGCGGGTTTAACACACATCTGCTAGTGCATTGAGTGCATTTAACACACTCAATTAGTGGCTAATAGGCCAGCACGGGCCCTGAGAGGCACACATGAGGTGGCCTCTGGGCAGCCCCCTGCCCTTTGCTATGGCTGCATTTGCCAGGTGACGACTGTAGGTAAAGATCAGAAACCTCCCCAGGCGGATGTGGGGGGATGCCACCCATGAGCAAATTCTCCAGAAAGTGCCTCTTCAAAGGCTATTAAGGCCAAGATCAGAAGAGGAAGCACTGCAATGTGCAACTGTAACATCTGTGGTCAGCCTATGAGATGAGTAAAAGATGTGGCTGAAACCTGTTTTAATGAATTTCACATCATTTTCATGCATACACACATGTGCAGAGAGAGAATGAGAGGTAGAGCAGTTATTTAATCTGCATGGACAGTCGGACAGCCTCATGTACATTGTATTGTTTTTCGACTTGGGTGTGTTGAAGATTTTCACTATAAAATGTTGGCCCATTCCCACATATCCAGTCAGACATTCTAACCAAACCCAGTGAACCCCAAGGAGAGCGCCCTTAGGTTTCCAAGGCGGGGAAGCCACACACACCCACGCACACACACCCACTCCGTGTATCCTGCACCTCCTCTGTTGTACAGACAATGGAAAAGCCTTGGATGGATGGATGGACAGAGAGGTAGATGAGGGGTGGAGAGAGGTAGGCAGGCCCAGGCCCTGCCTAGGGGGCAAACACAGTCACAGTGAGACTACAAGGCAGCAGATGCCAGCAGGATAGCCTGGTACCAAGTTCATGGATGGGTGCTCCTGTCTTCAGGCATTTGGGGGAGGAGGTGCTTGAGCTGGACCCTGAGAGGAGAGGAGGTGCGGTGAATACAGGAAGAGCGGTGCTCCAGGTGAAGGCAGAAGACAAGAAGGAGGGAGAAGGCATGACGCATCTGGGGACCCCTGCTGCCTGCATGGCAGAGGTAGGGGACAGACACAGGGTGTTCGGTATCATCCAGCAGAAGGCCCAGTGAAGCCTGACCCAAGAACGGGCAGTAAGGCCGCCCGAAGGAGTGTGAGCCTAGTTTGAGTCCAGGCTCTCTGGCCACATTCTGGGGGTGTGACATCATTGGCCTCCTGAGCCTCACGGTCCTCACTGTGAAATGGAGCAGTGATTTCCCTCGTGCTTGGATGGCTGTGAGGATAAAGTGGTATTTCATTTACCATGTGTGACCTCAGCAGGCCCAGGACTGTCCTGCAGGCCAGTGCAGCCACCATCTTGAACCATCCCCTGCTGATGGACACTCAGGCTATGTCCCAGTTTGTGCCACTTGGAAACCTGCTGACACAGACGTCCTTCTTTCTTCCCGCATTAGTGCCTGTGACAAGAAGAATGTCAGCCCCCTCCTGGGTGTGAGGGCTCGGCTGCGGGACTGCCCGAAGAGCCCACCCTTCCTGTATACCTCGGGACGCTTCGTTTACACAACAAGCATGCCAACACTTTGGAGGTTTGAAAGAAAAGTGGAAGAAACCGTTTTTATGTTAGCTGTGATGGTGACAGAGATGTTGACAGTGATTACAATGATCGTGTGGTGCTGTGGCCCTCTAAGACAGGCATTCTACCCATAAGGTGTGGGATGGCTTGAGCTCCACACCTTCTCAAAAGGTCACTGGAAACCTCAGAGACCTGGTCTATAAAATAGAAACACAACAGAAGTGGTTCTTCAAAACTCCATGAAAAAAGGAGCCACTTCTGTTCTGGCCATCACTGTGCCCCCAGCACCTGGGACAGCATTTGGCACATTATAGTTCCTGAACAAAATTTTTTGCTGTGAAGAAGAGAAAGAGGGAAGAGAAGGAAGGAAGGGAGAAGGGAGGGAGGATGAATTCCTGATTATATGAGAGGCTGGTTTTGTACAGATTTGAAACCCCCAAACATTAATTAAAAATGCCAGTCCAATGCCAAATACCTGTATCTGGCTGTTCAGGGGACTCACAGAAAATTTTTATCAGATACAGGGATTCTCAGAAAAGATACCTTTACTGGTCTCCCCCATCCCCCAAAGTTAATTAAGTGTGGCAGTGAAAGCCATGCTGTTTGTGCTATTTATGTAATGAAAAGATCTGAAAATAATACCCAGAGGCCCAGCTCTAGCAGCTGGGTGGCTGAGCCAGCTGGAGTGGCAGAAGGTGGCCAGGAGCTGTGATCTCTGCACCAACAGAGTGGTTATGATTGAATGATGCTTCTCATATTCAGTTTGCAAAGCCTCCCCAGACAAAAAGCCTGGGAGGGACTTCGTTTATCCCACGTGGCCATCAGCTTGCTTCTGAGAGGAGGTCCGCTGTCCACTTGATTTCTGCACACTCCCAGAGCCCAGGAGATGGCCTGCTGGCTGACCTCTGGAAAACCAGGATCAGCTGTGTGAAAGGGTGCAAGAATCAGAAGGCCCTGAGCCTGCTTTTCATCATTTGGAAGCATAGAATATCACCACTTGGAGGGAATGCCTGAGATTTCCCCAAGAAGCATTTTGTATGTGGCCATTTTATAGCCATGTTTACAGTGGCATAGGGAGAAGGAAGGAATGGAGAGAGGGAAGCAGGAGCTGGAAATCACCCAGGCACCCATGATCAGGGGACGATAGAATAAACCATGGTCAGCCATCCCATGGACTGTTATGCAGCTATTGGAAAGATTGAGTGAGTTCTGTACCAGCTGAGCTGTATGTGGGACCACATGTGCTGCTAAATAAGAAAAGATTCAGAGAGAGGTTTAGAGTGGATGTGGGGTGAAGGTGCTGCTGGCAAACCACACCAGCCCACTAAATCTGGCCCTCTGCCTGGCTTTGTGCAGCCCTGGAGCTAAGAATGGCTTTTGCAATTTCAAATAGTTTGGAAATAGTTTCAAAGAGATGGGAAAAAATCAAGTGAAGAACACTATTTTGTGACACATGAAAATTATGTAAAATTCAAATTTCAGTGCCCAAATAAAGCCCGGAGCACAGCCTCACTCGTTCATTTGCACAGTGTCTGTGGAGGTGCTTTTGTGCTATAATGACAGAATTGAGACCACGCCAGATGCAAAACAGAAAATGTTTACTACCCAACCCTTTCCTGAGAAAGTTTATCCACCCCTGGTTTAGCATATGACCATATTTTGTAAAACTAAGTGTCAGACACTATTCTCAGCACTTTATCAGAGTGAATTCATTACATTTGCTTATTTATTCCTTCGTTTTATCATTTATCCATCAGATGCTTAATGCCTGCTTGCTGGGCACTGGAACCAGTAGTGAATAAGCAGATGTAGCTCCTATTCTCAGGGTGCTTAGAGTCTGTGCCTAGATTTTTCTCCAGTGTAAACAGTCCCAGACCCACCAGCTGTATCTCACACAGTGACAGAGTGGTCCAGGCCCTTGCATCCTGTCTCCCTTACTCCTCCCACTGTGTGTCCTCACTGCCACAGTCCCTCCTAAGGAGAGGTACCCAGACTGGTCCCATGCCTCCTAGGTGTCTGGCAGGGAGGTCAAGGTCCAGAAGGATGCTTTTTGAATCTGGCTACACTCTTAGTCTGGTTTCAAAGTGCTCAACTTTCGACCTTTGCATTTTCAGCTCACGCTGTCCAGTGGCCCAAGAGGGAGACGTGGCACTGTTTGAGCCCTGTAGATGGGAGCAGCTGCCAGCTATGGAGAAGGGCATAGGCATGTCCACACATGATCCCTCCTGCATAAAAACAAAGCCCCTCCAGACACATCCCCAGTGCCTCAGGCTCTATGCAAAACCTGGAGAGTGGAGGAGAACTGCTTCAGTCCTGGGAGAAAGCTGGCTCTGCATGAGGCGATTTGAGGACTAAAGTTTCAACAATGAACTTCCCTCTTCATTCATACTCATCCCCAGCACCTCCTAGGAGTCTGCTTTATTTATTCTAGAAAAACAACACTGGGTCAGTCATCGTAGCTTCCCCACATCTGGACACTTGGCTCTGTTGAGGGCCTAGAGCCAGTGGTTGACATAATTGACATATTGGGGAACTGGACAAGAAACAAGCAGGGGCTGTGGGCAGAGCAAGGAGCTGCAGGGTCCCAGGATGGCGCCCAATGGCACCACCTCTTCCTGTTGTCTGGAGTCAACCCCGGTCAGGATCACTGTCAGCATCATCCTCACTGTCCTCATCCTCATCACTGTCGCCGGCAATGTGGTGGTCTGCCTGGCTGTGGGCTTGAACCGCCGGCTCCGCAATCTGACCAACTGCTTCATCGTGTCCTTGGCTGTCACTGACCTGCTCCTCGGCCTCCTGGTGCTGCCATTCTCAGCCTTCTACCAACTGTCCTGCAAGTGGGACTTCGGCAAGGTCTTCTGCAACATCTATACCAGCCTGGACGTGATGCTCTGCACGGCCTCCATCCTCAACCTCTTCATGATCAGCCTTGACCGGTACTGTGCCGTCACGGACCCCCTGCGCTACCCTGTGCTGGTCACCCCAGTCTGGGTTGCCATCTCCCTGGTCTTAATTTGGGTCATCTCCATCACCCTGTCCTTCCTGTCTATCCACCTGGGGTGGAATAGCAGAAACGAGACCAGTGGGGTCAGTCAGTCCATCCCAAAGTGCAAAGTCCAGGTCAACTTAGTGTATGGCTTGGTGGATGGGCTGGTCACCTTCTACCTGCCTCTGTTGGTCATGTGCATCACCTACTACCGCATCTTCAAGATCGCCCGGGACCAGGCCAAGAGGATCAATCACGTCGTCTCCTGGAGGACAGCCACCATCAGGGAACACAAAGCTACGGTGACGCTGGCCGCCGTGATGGGGGCCTTCATCATCTGCTGGCTCCCCTACTTCACTGTGTTTGTCTACCGTGGGCTGAAAGGGGATGATGGCATCAACGAGACCCTAGAAGCTGTGGTCCTGTGGCTGGGCTATGCCAACTCGGCCCTGAACCCTATCCTGTATGCTGCACTGAACAGGGACTTCCGCACAGCATACCAGCAGCTTTTCCACTGCAGGCCCACCCGCTGCAAGGCTCATGGAACTTTTCTGAGGACCAACAGCTCTCAGCTGTCTAGGGATGAAAGCCAAGACCCCGAACAGCAGGAAGAGAAGCCCCTGAAGCTGCAGGTGTGGAGTGGGACAGATATCATGGACCCCCGGGGAGCCACAGACAGGTAACTGTCCTGGCCATTTGTGTTCAGGAGGGGCGCAGGGCGGGGGTCCCACTAATGGTAACCATGCAGGCAGCAGGCTGTTCACAAGGTACTGGTCTGGACATTATGTGCTGAAAACTTCATGAGCCTTTTGCAAACCTCATGTTATTCCAACCTCCCAGTGGCCCCCCAAGGTAGAATTTTTTACCTACATTTTTAAGACACCACATTAAATCTGAGAGAACATGGCCAGGGCCACACAGCTGGCACCTGGACAGATGTTTCCTGACCCCAGAACTTGTGGGCCTTCGTTTCTAGCTACATTGTCCTTACAGTCAGGAATCCTAACTTTGAAACTCAACTGTGCCACTTAGTAGTCATAAGTGTTCAACCAATCCTCAAATGACTGCACTAATAGAACTGTCCAGGGCGCAGTGAGAAACCCATCTCGGTCCGCATTTAGCATCTATTACGCATCCTCTTCTATGCTGGGGGTGCTCAAATCAGAGGAGAAAGAGGACTGGCCGAGTTTGAAAGGCAGAGCTTTGAAGGCCAGACTAAGGAATTGGACATTTTACTGTAGGTCTTAGGGGAAGATAGAAAGATTAAAGGCAAGGGTGGGGGTAACCCAGCAGGTCTGTGGGCTCTGGTCACCCCCAAGATGTGGACTAGAAGGATGAGACAGGGGCATCAGTGAGTGGGGATGTGGCACTAGTCCACAAGAGAGGAGAAGAGAATCAAGCACAATCTAGGAGGCTATAAAGAAATAGTCTTGGAGACTACTGGCCATTCGTGTGCAGGAGATAAAAGAGAGAGGACGCCTCAGTATCCCACCTCCACGACGTACCAGACTGAAATGATAACAGGACCAGAATGAGATTTAGATAAATTCAGGGGTGACAAAGCCAATGTAAGTATTAAGGGAAACCAGACCAAAGACTTGAGTGGCACTGGGAGGCGCACTGCAAGGAGAGGAAGCTCACAGGTCTGATGGGCTCTGGCTGTTGAGAGGGTAAATGACAGCACGCTGAGGATACCTGGCACACGGAAGTGCTCAATAAGTGTCGCTTTCCTTTCTTTTCACACAGACCAGGACTTTGCCTATTTGCTGGTCTGTATGCCTGACCCATTCATTCATTCATTCATTCATTCATTTGAAAATATTTATTTACTTCCTACCACATGCCAGGGATGTACTGAGCACTGGAGATGTAGAAATGACATTTTCGGTGTTTATTGTGATGAACAGGTTTGCACAATAATTGCATAGCCCCAGTCTCATCTCTGCCCTCACTACTCTGTAGCTTGAGCAAGTCCCTGCCCCTCTTGGGCCTCAGCTTCCTCACCTCATAGAGTATGGGGTCTGGCCTCATGTGGCCTGCCCTGATCACCTCCCAGAGTTGCCTGAAGCACATGTGAACCACGTGCAGCATGCAGACAGGATGTATGACCCCTGATGGGATCATGTCCCCTGTCAAGCACTGATCATCAGACTCAAGGAAAACTTAGAGGCATGCCCTCTGGGTTCTGATCTCTGTGGAGTGTTGCAGGAGCAAAACTGCCCACTGGACCCTGGGGCCTCATGTCCCCTCTGGTCCTTGCAACAGCCAGGTGTGGGGTGTATGCCATAGGCTTGGGCCCTGGGCCTTCCACCCCTCCACTGCTAACCTTCTGGAACAAGCCTCACTCCTCTGCATCTAGCCTCCTCCTGGCCTCTGTTAAATCCACTCTCCACGCCACCCAAAATTGTCTCTCCAAAGTAAAGATCTGGAGACTTCCCTATCTGGCCCTGATGGGTAAGATGCCCACCTGCCCAGCTCCTTCCGCACTTTCTCATTCAGGAAGTCCTTGTTTCTGTGTATTAATCATTCTGTGATGGTATCCTCTCCCCACCCGTGTCAGGTGCTGAAAGTCCAAAGGGAGAGAAAGCAAGTCCCCTACCACAAGCTACCACTCTTGCCACCTTTAATTGCCCAGGTCAGTTGAGGAGCAAACTGGCAACAGTTCAGCATAGCCCATGCCAAGGACTGACACCCAGTGTGCTGGGCACCCAGATAAGATGGTGCATGGCCCAGAGAGCCCATCCCAAGGAGCACACCTCTGAGATGAGCCTTAAATACAGATGGGCAAGACCCATTCCTCTGGGTAGTGCTGGACCCTTTCCACTTGTGGCCTCATTTCATTCTCCATGCAGCTCTCTAAAGTAGGTGCTTGTTAGTCTCCACTGTACAGGTGGGAAAACTGACACTCAGAAAAGTTAGGTAAATTGCCCAAGTGATACAAGCTACTGATCAGCCATGCCTGAATTCTAAGCAGCAACAAAAATATCCCCCACTATTAACTGCCCCCTGGGGGCCAGGCATACCGAGGGGTATGAGCGCGCACCTCCTCTCCTGATCTTCACTGCTGAAGACCCCCAGGTCAGGGGCTCTGACGAAGCTGAGGCCAGCCGAGAGGCCATGCACGCCTAGGTCCCACACAGCAGCCCCTGAGCCAGGACCTCAGAGCACTATTTCCCAGGTCTGTGGCTGCCGCCCAGATCAGTGGGCAGAGGAAGGTGGGAAACATCATGGTGGGAGGGCATGGGGAGTGCAGGAGGCCAAGAACAGCCAGAGGTCCACTATCCTGCTGAAGCTGCCAGGACCATCAGTGCCACATATGGGCCAGTATAAGGTGGGCTCCCAGCTTCCCTGATGGCCAATAGTGTGTCCTTCTTGTTCTTAGTCTGGAGACAGAAAGCCAGCACTGACCTGACCAAAAGCCCTCATCACTGCCGAAGGGGCAGAGCCGAGAATTCTGAAGGGATGAACAGCCTGCCCTGGGAAGCGGGTGGGAGCACAGCAGCCAGAGGCACCCAGGAGACAATGGCCGGGCTGGCCCGCCCTCCCTTCCCTGCTGTCACCCAGCAGCCGCTTCCCAGCAGGATGCTCTGTCTGCCCCTTCCTGACCCAGGCTGGCTGCCTCACCCCTCCCCTCATCACCCTCCCCGTCCGATCCCTGGCTCCCCGCTCACCCACTCTGCTCCGCGGCCCCTGCTCAGTGACTCTACCGCTCCTACTGGAAACGGGCCCGCGTCAGTTTTCTAGGGCCACTGTGACCCTGGGACCACGGACCTGGCGACTAAAACAATTCATTCTCTCATAGTTCAGGTCAGAAGTCTGAGACCACGGTGTGGGCAGGGACAGCCCTTCTGGGGCTCTGGGGGAGGGTCCATGTCCTGGCCTTCCCCAGCTCCTGGGGGCCGCCTGCCCTCAGAGGCTCCAGGGCCCTTCACTTCATTTTGACCTCTTGCTTCTGTTGTCACATCTCCATCTCCACTTCTGTAGCCAGATTTTCTGCCTCCCTCCTATAAGGGCACTTGTGATTACATTTAGGGGGCCCACCAGGATAATCTCCCCACCTAATTCCTTAACTTAATCCACTTAATCCCATCTGCAAAGTCCTTTTTGCCATATATGGTGTCAGCTCCCAGGCTTCAGCATGAGGTCCTGGACATTGCCAGGGCCACGTGCAGCCACTGCAAGTCACAGCTTCTTAGCCTGGCACGAGAAGCCCTTCATGATTTGGTCCCTAACCATCTCCTGATCTGCACCTTGCCAACAGCCCCCAGCCTCCACACCCTCCTGCCACCGCCAGAACTGGTCAGGTGCATTCATTCACAAGCACTCACCAAGAATTTGCTGTTCACCAGTAACCAGCTCAAGCCCCTCTGGCCCCAAAGCCTGGACTCTTTCCATGATGAAATGCTACTTGGACTTGAGTTTAGCCCAGACTCAGTACCAGTTCCATAAATACCAGATGGGGAAACTAAGGCACAGGGAGGCGAGTGACCTGAGGTCCGTAGCTCGCTCATGAGGGGCTGGGGGTAGACCTAGTATCTCTCGACTCTTGCCCAGCGTTCTGGGTCTGTTTCTCACACACTCACTTGCACTGGGTAATTTCTCAAGGCAGGGAGACAATATTCACGAGTACCTGGAGGATCAGCAGTCTGCCTTGGGGTGAGGAGCTTCCTCATTGCTGCAGAGCCCCTGGGCATGTGGCTGCAATACTTCCAGGCACCCAGAGGTTGGAGTCAGAGCTCGAGAAGTACATCAGAGAAGAGGTGCAAAGGCAGGCAAGCTGCCCCCACGCCACGTCCAGCTAGCTCTCCCCTCACACACCTCTTGCCAGCATCCTACCTGGCCCCTCCTATCTGCTCTCCTTCCCTCTGAAGCCAGAGAGAGCATTTCCAAGTGTAAATGGATTATGTGCCACCCCTCTTGGTGCTCTTGGAATCAAATACAAAGTTCTATCCTGACCTCCAAGACTCTGTACCCTATAACACCGTCCCCTTAGCCCAGGCTGTCTTCTTACCTGTCTTGATGCATTCTATTTAATGTCTGCTCCCCAGAGCATAATAAGCTACCTGAGGCAACCCATGCCCGTGTTGTTCACTGTGTATTCCTAACAAGACAGGCCCAGTAATATTTGTTGAGTGAATGAATGAACGAATGAGTGAGTGACTATCTCAGTCTAGGTCTCTAAGAGTCCTGGAGAAGTAAATGAATCCACCCCCACTTAAGAGAGCAGGAAATCAAGTCTGAAAGGGAGAAGTCCCAGGAGCCTAGCAGATGCTCAGAAATTCCTGGTTCCTTATTCTAACTTGGACTTCACAAGGCTTCCCTCCAGGGAGCAGCAGCTGGGCCAGCCCTCGGAGCAGAATCCACTGCCAACTCTGAATCAGAATCTTGGCGAAGAAAGGGGTTAGGACAGGAACCCAACCCCTCCCCCTGGCTCTTCCACATGAACCCAGAGAGGTGTGGTAACTCATGCCAACGACACAGAAGTGAGCTTCCGAGTAGGCCGGGGGGCTGAGTTCCCCACAACCTGGGTGCTGACCATTGCAGCTCCATGGCACATCCTGGTTTGGCGGGAGATTGTGGGTGCAGGGGAGGGTGGAGCTGACTGTACCTTCTGCCCCAAGTCCTGTCTCTACAGATAAGCTGCAATACCTGTAGGAGTGAGAGCTTCATGGCTGAGGT